TGTGCAGGTGAGCACTGGGACACACACCTGGACTGGAGTTAGGAATGGATGAAGGAAGGGGACATTGACTCCAATGCTCAGAAGACACAAAGTGAGATTTATTAGGAAATTTACATATTTATAGACAGGATCATTCACTCAAGAGTCTGATTGGTCCTTGAACAACACCCCTCACACCATTGGCTAAGTAGGAACAACACCTTTTTGTAAATACCTGTCCATGAACACCACGTACAAACATTCCACCTGTTCACAAACACCAGGTGCAGGGATGAAGATAAGAATTGTTTTAATTATTTCTCTGAGCATTCTCACAACTTCCAAAGGATGATACCTGGGAAAGTGACCTGTTTATCTCTCTGTCAGCATCCACACTGGGCTGGCACCACAGCCCAGGTGAAACAAACCCCTCAACAGCAACAATCCCTGAGAGAAACCCCAAGTCCAGAACCATGGAATGATGAAACATCCTGAGCTGGGAGGGACTCCCAGGGATCATGGACCCAGCTCCAGGCCCTGCACAGACACCCCAAAACCCCAGCCTGTCCCAGAGCCTGTCCAAACTCTCCTGGAGCTCTGCAGGGCTGGGGCCACCCCTGAGGAGCTGCTCAGGGCTCTGAGAGGGGCAGACCCCAGGGCAGGGTTGTCCCAGGGGGATTTATTTGGATTTATTTACCTGCCAGGATGATGTTGGGGCTGTCCCCAGGGGGATTTATTTGGATTTATTTACCTGCCAGGATGATGTTGGGGCTGTCCCCTGAGGAGCTGCTCAGGGCTCTGAGAGGGGCAGACCCTGCAGCAGGGCTGTACCCAGGGGGATTTATTTGGATTTATGTACCTGCCAGGATGACGTTGGGGCTGTCCCCAGGGGCATTTACGTACCTGTCAGGATGATGTTGGGGATGTTGCCGTGGCTGGAGTAGTTGAGCTGCTGGGAGTCCTGCAGGCTGCCGTGGCTGCCCGTCAGTCCCATCATGGCAGCCTGCGAGTAGTTGAGGGTGGAGCAGGGGCTGTACAGGCTGTTGGAGCTGATGGCGTTCTCGATCATGTTGAACTGCTCCAGCTGCAGAGCGACACCACAGGGGTTAACTGCCAGCCCAGCAGGGACAGGGACACAGGGGGACAAGGACACGGCTCCAGGACACACAGACAGGCAAACAAATTCATCTTTCCTTGCTCAAAAAGGGGCTGTGCGCCCTGAGCTGCACGGGACAGTCCCTGCCCAATTCGGGAGAGGGAGGCACCAAACTGGGGACAGAAAAGGGAGGGTGGAAAGGGGAATAAAGGGAATTCAGGTAGCCCTGAGGTCTCTGTCCAGCAGAATTCCTGCCAGGATTCATCCCAGTTTGGGAATTCCATAATTTAATTAATTTAATTCCAGAATTAAATTCAATAATTTAATTTATCCATGCTCTGGTGGCGGATTAAAAGGGAAATAAGGGGAATTCAGGCTCACCCTGAGGTCTCTGCCCAGCAGGATTCCTGCCAGGATTCATCCCCGTTTGGGAATTGCATAATTTAATTAATTTAATTCCAGAATTTAACTCATCCATGCTCTGGTGGAGGGTGGAAAGGGGAATAAAGGGAATTCAAGCTCACCCTGATGTCCCTGCCCAGCAGAATTCCCTCCAGGACACACTCCAGTTTAAGAATTGCATAATTTAATTAATTTAATTCAATCATTTAATTCATCCATGCTCTGGTTGGCCAAAGCCCATGCTCTGGTGGCGGATTAAAAGGGAAATAAGGGGAATTCAGGCTCACCCTGAGGTCTCTGCCCAGCAGAATTCCTGCCAGGATTCATCCCAGTTTAAGAATTCTATAATGTAATTCCAGAATTAAATTCAATAATTTAATTTATCCATGCTCTGGTGGCGGATTAAAAGGGAAATAAAGGGAATTCAGGCTCACCCTGAGGTCTCTGCCCAGCAGGATTCCTGCCAGGATTCATCCCCGTTTGGGAATTGCATAATTTAATTAATTTAATTCCAGAATTTAACTCATCCATGCTCTGGTGGAGGGTGGAAAGGGGAATAAAGGGAATTCAAGCTCACCCTGATGTCCCTGCCCAGCAGAATTCCCTCCAGGACACACTCCAGTTTAAGAATTGCATAATTTAATTAATTTAATTCAATCATTTAATTCATCCATGCTCTGGTTGGCCAAAGCAAGGGAGGGTCTGGTTATTCCCAAATGAAACCAGCCATGGATTATTCCCAAATTCCTGAGTCAATCCTGACATCACCCACAAGGGAATCCTTCCCAACTGCAACTCCAGCCAGAAACGTGGAGCTTGAAATATTGAATTATTTTTACTCAGCAAGGTATTCCCATGATGTTTCATTTTAAAAGCTTGATTATTATATTTTTTAATTGATCTCCCATTTTAAAAGCCTCACTATTTTATATATACATATATATATATTTAATTGAACTCCAATTTTAAAAGCTTCATTATTATATACATATTTTTTAATTGATCTCCCATTTTAAAAGCTTGATTATTATTTCTTTTTAACTGATCTCCTATTTTAAAAGCTTCATTATTATACATTTTTTAAATTGATCTCCAATTTTAAAAGCCTCATTATTATATATTTTAATTGATCTCCTATTTTAAAAGCTTGATTATTATATATTTTTTTACCAATCTCCAATTTTAAAAGCTTGATTATTACACATTTTTTAATTGATCTCCCATTTTAAAAGCTTAATTATTATACATATTTTTTAACTGATCTCCCATTTTAACAGCTTGATTATTATGCATTTTTTAAATTGATCTCCCATTTTACAAGCTTGATTATTATTTACTTTTTAATTGATCTCCCATTTTAAAAGCCTCATTATTATATATATATATTTAATTGAGCTCCCATTTTAAAAGTTTAATTATTATATATTTTTTAAATTGATCTCCCATTTTAAAAGTTTAATTATTATATATATATTTTAACTGATCTCCCATTTTTTTGGCAGAACCTACGTGGGATGGGGAGAACAAAGAGTAAGAGAGGAGCGGAGGGGAGGGAAACCAAACAAAACAAGAAACGAACAAAAAAGCAGGAAAACTCTACATGGACGAAACGGGGACGTGACGTAAATTAATCAGGAGTTAATTGGGATTAATTTGAGGCGGGGGAGAGGCCGAGGAGGCCCGAGATGAATTTGCTCACCTGGTGGGAGAGGGCATTAGCCTGCCTAGCTGTCATCTGCTGCTCATAATAGGAGTCCCCAAAAACACTGCCCAGCATGGAAGAATGCTGAAAACAAAACAGAGGCTTCATGGTGCACAACCCCCACTGCCCCCGGCCCGCCCGGCAGCCACGGGGAAAGCGGCAATTCCAGAGAAATCCGGGAAGGCCGAGAAATCTGGGAATGCCGGAGAAATCTGGGGATTATGGAGAGAAGCGGGAGTGCTGGAGAAATCTGGGAATTCCAGAGAAAACCGGGAATTCTGAGAAATCCGGGAATGCCAGAGAAAACCGGGAATTCTGAGAAATCCGGGAATGCCAGAGAAAACCGGGAATTCTGAGAAATCTGGGAGTGCCAGAGAAAACTGGGAATTCTGAGAAATCGGCAGGGAGCGGGCGGGAATCGCCCGGGGCCCTCACGGGGCCCTCACGGGGCCTACGGGATCCACAGGGAGCAGGAGGGAATCCACAGGGCCCAGGGGATCCCACAGGATCCACAGGGAGCAGGAGGGAATCCCACAGGATCCACAGGGAGCAGGAGGGAATCCCACAGGATCCACAGGGAGCAGGAGGGAATCCCACAGGATCCACAGGGAGCAGGAGTCCCCAGAACCATGAAGATCCCACAGGATCCTCACAGAGCTGGAGGGAATCCCCAGGACCCCACAGGCCCCTCACGGAGGAGGAATGAATCCCCCAGGACCCACAAGATCCTCATGGAGCAGGAGGAAATCCCCCAGGAACCCACAGGACCCTCACGGAGCAGGCGGGCATCCCACAGGATCCTCACAGAGCAGGAAGGAATCCCCCAGGATCCCACAGGATGCTCACGGAGCAGGAAGGAATCCCTAGGATCATGAAGATCCCACAGGATCCACACGGAGCAGGAATGCATCCCCCAGGACCCTCACGGAGCAGGAGGAATCCCCCAGGACCCACAAGATCCTCATGGAGCAGGAGGGAATCCCTCTGAACCGGGAAGATCCCACAGGACCCTCACGGAGCAGGAATGAATCCCACAGGATCCCCCAGGACCCTCATGGAGCAGGAATGAATCCCAGAGGATCCCCCAGGACCCTCACGGAGCGGGAATGAATCCCACAGGACCATGAAGACCCCCCAGGACCCCGCTCCTGCCTCGGGGACACCAGAGAACCCGAGGTCTCTCCCTGAGCACAAGGTGGATTTCCCCACAGGACACTGCGCTGGGGAAAGGGCAGGGACAGAAGCACAATTTCTGCTTTTTGGGGATTTTGTGGGATTTTTGTGGCATTTCCCCCCACTGAGGCGGGAGGGGCTGCTCTGGCTCTGGGTCTGCAGCCCCAAAGGGCGAAATTCCTGATTTAAATCATTCCAAGGGAGCAGAGCAGGAAAGGTCAGGGGGAAGCTCAGTGAGAATTCCAGGAGGAATTCCTCAGCCTTGCTACATCGCTGTCGAGTCCCTCAGTTATTCTCCATCATTTATCAATTATTCTAAAGGTGACCAAGAATTTGAGATCCATGTTTTAATCCTGATCAAAAATGCCAGATAAAAATCAACACCACTCCTGATTTTAAATTCTAAATTCTGATATTCCAGCTGAAAATAAAAACCAATTACTGACAAAGAGAACGTCTCTAAAAGACAATTTCCATGGAGTGGTTGTCTCAATCTTGGAAAACAAAATTCAGCTGCTGGTTTATGCACATGGCAAAAGCAGAAGGCCAGAAATTTCCTCCTTAAAAACCTAAGCATGGCAAATTCAGGAAAAATTAAGGAAGAATCAGAACAGGCACGGATTTTAGACCCTCAAAAAAAATAAAAAAAACCACCTTGTAGGAAAAAATAATTCAAACATCACCTGAATTGCACCTTGGCTGAGCAGATCCTGCTTGGCCCCAGGGCTGCTCCAGGCTGGGATGGTTTGGATGCACTTGGAGAAGAGATTTGGGATTCCCTTTCCTGAGCATCCATGGTCTGTCACAGCCAGACCTCCCAACAATCTATGCCCCATGTGCAGCCAGAACTGGGAAAGGGCTGAAATTTCCAACTAAATCTCCAATTTATCACCTGGTCATCAACACTCCAGAGCTGCTGGATGCCAGGAAAAAGGGATCAAACACCAGGAGGGATCAAACACCACAAGAGCCACTGCTAAGATGCTGATAAGAGAAAATCAAAGCACCCAACCAACCTAAATCCAACCTAAGATTTTTTTAACCAACCTAAATCCAGTCCAACCTATGGTTTACAACCATTTCCAAGGAAAATCTGAATTTTGGGATGGCACAGACTTGACAGGAAGCAAAACCAACACTAAAATCCAATGGCTATTTGAGAGCTCCAAAGAGGATCAAGGTATTTTGTCCCTTTCACTCCCGTGGTTTCATTCCACAGAACAGGAATGAGAGGACAATTCCAAAAATGAGGACAATCCCTAAAATCTCTGTGTTTCACCAAGCACTGTTTCCATCCCAAAAAACCTTGGGGAACACAGTAAGTAATTAAAAGGAGAGCAGAATGTGCTTGTCCAAGTCCAGGGCAGAGCTTCCCACCCAAGCCCAGCCTGGGTTTGCTCCTCCTGTGAGGTGTGCTGGTTCCTACAGCTGCAAGCACAGAAATTCCCAAAGGAAACCCGAAATTCCCACTGGAAATGTCATTCCTTCAACACTTCACAGCCTCAAAATAATTTATCAACAACTCCAGGGACGACACTGTGCAAACACCATCTCCAGAACCACTGGAGAGTCACCAGAGCATCTTCTGGGGTTCACGGAGCGACTGTGAGGAAAAACCAACCCCAAAGCACAAATCCCTGGCTGGGATGATCCATCTCAGAATACCTACCAGGTTCTCCAGGTCAGAGCCACTAGAGCAGGAATGTTTGTGTCTAACTGGAACGGGAATGAGGGTGAGAGCAGGGAAGCAGAGCCCAGGCACTGGGGTGGAAGCCATGCAAACACAGAGCTGGGGGCAGGCAGAGCTCTCCATCCATCCCTGTGGGCACTGGGAGCACTGGTGGGACACACACACACACGGCTGGGACAGGGGAGCACGGGGCTGGGGAGAGGTGGGAGCATGGAGGAGAACCTGGGGTGGATGTGGGACACAAATCAAAGCCTGGGTTTGTGGTTTAGGCAATGTCCTTTGGCACTGTGGGGGTGAAACCCCAAATCCACGGGAGGAAGAGGAGCACGTGGAGGCACCTGCATCCCACTCAGCAGTGCCAGGCTGCTCCACAATGGGACACTCTGCTGTTGGAAGGGTTCTGCCTCACTCTGGGCAGATGAAGGGATTCTGCTGCCTGCAGCTGCCCCCATCTCCACAACCAACCCCAACTTCCCCTCCACGCTGGTTTTTCTTCTCTCCACGTTTCATGTTTGTGACCACCACCACCTTAGGGCCATTCCTGGAGGCACCGAATCCACCTCGGTTTTAATTTAGCAAAACTAAGGAATTCTGTGGGTATTTAAGAGGCCAAAACTACAGAGAGCAGAATTAATAAATCCTCTGCCTTCCACTCAGAGTTGTGGCGTCCCTGTCAAACAGAGCAAAACCTGAGGAAATTTTTACAGGATAAAACCAGCAGGAAAAATCATAACCCAGTGTGTGCTCTGGTCCTCTGTGCACTGACCAGTGGGGACAAAACCAAGCCAGAGTGATTGAGAAATCAAAAGGGAAAAAAAAAATCAACATAAACCCCAAATTTGGACGTGCTGTCCAGTGAGAACTGAGAGTTTGCAGCATGCTCTGCTCTAGGGGACAGTGCTGGTTTTTGGAGGCACACAGAGCACAGCAGAACTCAACAGAAGCAGGCTGAAGAGAGAGGTTAAGAAGCAAATTAAGGCAGGGTTAAGGAAATGCAGACAATTCCTGCCACTCGGATCCAGGGCTGAGCTTACCATGACCTGGCTAATGAAGGAGCTTCTGCCTGGCAACCATGAAGGGGCAGCACTTATTTAGAAAGGATCCTCTTTACAGCCTTCAATGTTCAGTGATGAAACAGAAAATGGATTTTCAGACTCTTGTGATGCTCTGGAAGAATTCCCTGCACTTCTTTTCTCCAGGTGGGATTCTCCAGAGCAGCCAGCTGGGGCTCTTTCAGCAGCATCAGGCACTGAAAATGCACTTTCTTACATTGGGGCACCCTCAAATTTTGCCTGGTTTTAATTTCTTGCTGCTGGCAGGTAAAAATCTCCCCTTCAGAGGATCACACACTCCCCCAAGTTGTGATTTCCATCCAGGACATGTGGATGTGTGAGGAGATACAGGCAGAGCAAGGAAAAGCAGCTGGCATGCAAGGGAGTGTGCTGGGAACCCAATCCCTGCCAGCCACAAGCTGCTCATTTTAAGAGCATTTTCTCCAGTGTTTTCTCTCACTGGGTGTGTTCTCACATAAAAAAGGTCCTGATCTAAATCAGTTTGGGATTTTTAGTGTAAATATTTAAATATTTCATGCCCAGGAGTTTTCCTGCTGCAGGAGGCACTGAAATTCCCCCTTTCTTGCCCTCCCAACCTCACACCCATCAGCTCCCCTGGGATCCTGGCATTTGAAAGGGTTCTACCTGGGGGTTCTGCCCCCCAAACAAACACCACCCCAGTGTTCCAGCAGCAGCCTGATCCTGTGCTTCTCTGCTCACTACAAAAGGCAGTTCAGCAGCTCCTGAAGGCCTGTGGGAGTGGGGATGGAGGGGCGGCCGAGATGGGACGTCGGTGATGCATGAGGCACACACGGAGTCACAGTGAGACAACTATGGGGCAGTGATGGAGAAATCCAGCTCAAAACACACACGAGAAGCAAGGCCTGTGGAAGCACAGAGTCCCTTACTTGAGGGGAGCTGCCAGGAGAGAAGCCTTGATTGGAGACAGGAGAGGTGGGAGACTGGTTGGCTGGGGAGCCAGCATTACTGCGGTACTGCTGGAGTGAGGCCTACAGAACAACACAGAATTAAACACCGTGCCACTGAGGCAGCCCTGCAAAATACCAACAGCTTCTGCACTGATGGGAGAAACCATCCTCTTCAGGTTCTGTGTGGGAAGACAGGGTTATGTGAATGAGGTCCCCAAAATGTGGGGAGAGCTCTGGGACAGCCCCAGGGCAGGGGCAGGCACAGCTGGGAGCATTTCCTGCCTGTTCTCACTTATGCTCGGTTCAAAATATATTCAAAAATCAGGTCAGCCAAGGATTTAGGGCAAAGAAGTCTTGGAAGCTGGGAATGATTCAAGAAGAATGTCATTCATGCTTCAGTTGCAGTGCCAGCCCCACGAGTGAGTTCACTGGGATGCTGCTCTGCCTCCAGCTGTGTTATCAGCACAGTGCAGGTGAGAACAGCTCAAGGATAAACCTGGCTCCAAACCTGTCCCCACACAGCCCCAAACTCCACTGCACCCCAGGACATGGAGCAGGCACCCTCAGGGAATTCACACTGTGTTCTGTAGGCTTGTAGATGGGATTTTTGTACTCTTCTCAGCTGTCTTGAGAAGTTATTTTCAAAGATTTTTTTTTTTTCCCATCATAAAGAACCCTCGTTTGGAACAAATTAATAATATTAATGGGATTTAAATAATGCTGCACTAATTAACATCAAGAGTAGCCCAGCTCTTCTTATTTTACTTCCATTAGAAATTAAGGGATGATTGAGGAGAACCTGCAACCCAGTGAATTTAACCAGATTTGCAGTGTGGGAGAACTCTGCACTGCCAATTTTTGACCCCAAATTCTGTAAATCCCAAGAAAATTTCTTTTTGCTCTGCATTGCCACTTACAACCTGTCAGAAGGTTGTACAGCCTACAAATAAATTTCAATTCTGCTTTACAAAACCTGTGCAGAAGTTGCCAGCAAGGCTGTGACAGCTCCAAAGGCTTTTTGATAAAGTGGCTTTAAATCTGTTTATTTAGGAATTACTTGAGTTGCTTTAGAAGATAAACACAGCAGCCTAAAAGTTCAGGTCATAAAGAGGTTTAGGATGAGGAAAGCAACAGAGAAAGCAAAGGATGAGATCAGAATTGTCTGTGCTGGTGCTACATGAGGATTAGAATCAAAACAGGGACACGATTTGAGTGGGGTGGGATCCTTTCCACTGCTGGATTGTCCTTCCCTCTTCCCCTTCCCACCCTGGAAGGGAAGCAGCTGCTCTCAAGGAGCACCAACTGTTAAAACTTTCATCCACAACCCAGTGCAGATCAGCAGAATTGATTTGTTTCATTCCCAAAGCCATTCCTGTCACTGCAGCACTGCCAGGACACCACGGGTGGGACACCCAGGACCCCCCAGGGCAGGAGGGCTGGGGGAGCAGGGAGTGATTCCTGATCTGGGATTTTCAGCTGCTTTCCTACAAGCAGGAAAAGGGATCTGTCCATAAATCCTTGCTCCAATTCTTCCGGGCACTGGAGGCAGGCACAAATCCCATTTTGGAATACATGCTCTAAAATTCCTCGAAATAAAAGGGTTCTGAGTAGTGAAACTGCAGAGAACACCTGGCTCTAGACAACTTTTGGGAAGTAAATTCTCCAGATGGTATTTTATTGGCAAATGGTTGTTGTGGTTGGACTCCCTCTCAAGGCTCTGGGAGTTCCCCCAGTCTGTATCATGATGTGCTGGGGGACACTGAACACCCTGAAAATCTCCCAGTAAACACTGATAGATTTAAGCTGGGTTTAATCAAACCTGGGACAAAATCTAATAAAAATTTCCCTCTAGAAAACACTTAAATGTTCATTTAACCAAAACCATTTGAAGTTTACTTCAGCCTCCCTGAAATCCTCATGATTTGGGGGTTGTCCAGGCTGATTTCCCAGCCCACACTGCCCATTCCCAGCTCTTCCCAAGGCAAGCCCTTCCCAAACTCACCGAGTTGATGTCAATTCCCATGGAGGGCTGGCTCTGGTTCCCTGGAGGTGACTGGGGGATGGTGGAAGGTACCGTGACAGACAGAGGGGGGAGCTGGGGGCCCCTCTGCAGCCCCGAGCTCTGCAGCAGAGGGGGGGTCTGGGGCAGGGAACTGGCCACTGCTGGCTGCTGCTGCTGCTGGGAGCTGGTCTGGGTGAAAAAGGGGTACGGGGGGAGCTGCTGCTCCAGGGACAATGCATCCATAGCCACGGCCTGCAAAAGAGGGAGAAGATCAGCCACGGTGGAAGGAGATTCCTCTTCACACCAAGAGAATGGAGTCAGGCTTGGGTGGTGGTGTAAAAATGGCACCTAAAGGTTCAGAGAGTCAAGAAGCTGCTCTGAGATGTTCCTGTCCCTGGCAGGGGTGGGTTGGATGAGGTTTAAGGTTCCCTCCAAGCCAAACCATCCTGTATAAACCAGTATTTTAAAAGTCCAGTTGAATCTCAAGGTCAGAAATCACCAACCTGGGCAGTCACAGAGTCACAATAAAATCGATTTTAAAAGTTAATTGAGTTTCTGTCACAAATTAGAGAAATGGCTTTCAAATTTCACAGCTCACTTTGGGACAACACAAAAAAATGTGGTCTAAGAGATGGTTTTTATCACAGCTCTAGAAAGGAGGAAGTAAAATCTGTCCCCTCTACAAACCTCTCCTGTTTTAAGGCTCTCAATTAGGAAACACCTTTAAAGGAGGAAATTACAGAACAGGAGATGGAAGTTCATGGAATCATGGTTTGGGCTGGAAAGGACCTTAAAGCTCATCTTGTCCCATGGGCAGGGACACTTTTTACTCTCCCAGGCTGCTCCAAGCCCAGCCCAGCCTGGCCTTGGGCACTTCCAGGGATGGAGCAGCCACAGCTTCTCTGGGAATTCCATCCCATTTCCACCCACCCTCCCAGGGAGGAATTCCTTCCCAATATCCCTGTGGCTCTTTGATTAAGCAGATTAAACCAACGAGGCTGTGATTAGAAAGCTGGAATTGCCCCTGAGCTCCTACCTGAGTGATGGGTGACAGTGGGGACAGCGTGGGGGACATTTGCTGGGACTGAGGTCGCCGCGAGTCCGCGCCCAAGGACAGGGGGCTGACGCTGGGCTGGCGGTGCTGGGACGGGGCCGGCGTCGTCGTCATTCCTGCAGAAAACAACAAACCCCCCTCAGCAGGGACACAGCAGGGACACAGCAGGGCCCTGCTGAGCTCTGTACCCAAAAGAATTCCCTAAACCAGGAGAAAAGGGCGGCCTGAGCGGGCAGCACCGGAGAAGCCTCGGCGGATCGCGCGGGAGCTCGTTAGGTGATTTGTAATTAATTTTGTCAGGTTGAAGAGCATCAGGATGAGAGGAAGAGCACTGTGGGTTGTCCTGGCTCAACATCAAGCACGGTTGGTGGGGTTGGTGGCCAGGATGAGGAATTGGAAGAGGCAGAGCAGCCTCAGCAGTTCCAGACACCACAGGCACCGTGCTCGCACACCTGCACTCGGCCAGCCCAGGAAAAGCAGGTTCTGCTCTGTTTGTGTGGGCTCAGGCTCTGGGAATGAGATAACAAATCCTGGAACCAGCCTTATCAGAGGGCACTTGAGGTACTGTAAAAGCAAACACCTCTTTAATGGAAAAAGCAGAAGCAAAACTGGTTATGCAGGAAGAGCCCCATTTTTAATGGCACAGCAGGGCAGGAAATGTCCACCACACTCCCAGGAGCCACGACCTGGCACAGGGTGAGGATAAACAACCCAAATATTATCATTTTGTTCAGATCAAGCCAAAAATCTGGGAATTTAGAAACCTCCCTTTTTTTCTGCTTCACCTCAGAGGAAACAAGGGAAGGATGTGAGGCCAAGGCAGAGTGAGCTGCTCCAGGAGCTGCCGGGGAGCAGCAACTCACAGGAGCAGCAACTCACAGGAGCAACTCACAGGAGCACTCACAGGAGCACTCACAGGAGCAGCAACTCACAGGAACACTCACAGGAACTCTCACAGGAGCAACTCACAGGAACACTCACAGGAACTCTCACAGGAGCACTCACAGGAGCAGCAATTCACAGGAACACTCACAGGAGCAACTCACAGGAGCACTCACAGGAGCAGCAACTCACAGGAGCACTCACAGGAGCAGCAACTCACAGGAGCAACTCACAGGAACACTCACAGGAGCAGCAACTCACAGGAGCAACTCACAGGAACACTCACAGGAGCAGCAACTCACAGGAGCAACTCACAGGAGCACTCACAGGAGCACTCACAGGAGCAGCAACTCACAGGAGCACTCACAGGAGCAGCAACTCACAGGAGCAACTCACAGGAACACTCACAGGAGCAGCAACTCACAGGAACACTCACAGGAGCAGCAACTCACAGGAACACTCACAGGAGCAGCAACTCACAGGAACACTCACAGGAGCAGCAACTCACAGGAGCAGCAACTCACAGGAACACTCACAGGAGCACTCACAGGAGCACTCACAGGAGCAGCAATTCACAGGAACACTCACAGGAGCAACTCACAGGAGCACTCACAGGAGCAGCAACTCACAGGAGCAGCAACTCACAGGAACACTCACAGGAGCAGCAGCTCACAGGAGCAGCTCACAGGGCAGCTCCCGGGCACCTGGCAAAGGCTCAGGGTTTCCAGGCAGGCTGCCAGGGAGCCAGGAAGGCCAGGCTGCAGGGAGGCAGCAGGAGAAGGGGCTCAGGCAGGCAGGTGCCCAGGCAGGTGCCCAGGGAGGTGCCCAGCCCAGCACTGGCTCCCCCTGGCACCCTGCAGGGTGCTGGCACCTGGCAGGTGCTGCCATGCCCACGTCCCCAGCCTCGGGGGGCTCTGGGGCACTCCTGAGCAGGGCACAGGGGGCAGGAGCCCTCAGGGAGCTTTTAGCAGGAAGGGGAGGTTGGGAAAATCAGTTTGGAAAGCACCCAAGGCTGAGTGGGGCAGTGGGTGACGTGTGGGATCATCTCAGAGAGAAGCTGGAATGAAATCACCAAGGAAATCTTGAGTTTGTTCTGTCTTTGACAGATCAGGGAACGTTTTCAAAGCAGTTTCACACTCACCAGTTTGGGTTTATATCATTTACTTTGCTAATTATGGGGAAAAAAAATGTGGAGATCCACTGTGGCTAAAATCCTGATTTCTAAAATCATCCCTGAAACTTTGGAGCCCAAAAAACTTTTCCAAGGCTGCTGAAAGTGTTGCCCCACTCTGTCCCCAAATGGCCAAATCCTTTAAATGGTTAAATCCTCTTCTTGCTTCCCAAACTCACCTTATTCCAGACATTTCCTTTTCCCAATCCAGGAGAAGTGGGAAAGGGAATCCTGCCCAGCACAGGAAATGTATTTGTATTTTTGGATACAACTCCTCGTTTCTATTCTAGGAATCAACAGACTTGCAACTGTCACTGATAATTTAAAATATAAACAAACAACCCTCTTCGTAATTATTTGAGTATCAATGAAATTACTTTAAAAATAGCAATTAATGATTAAAATATTATTCAATAATAGACTCTAAAAGGATCCTCACATGAAAACAAATGCTGTTCTAAAGGAATGGAAATAAAAAAAGAGATATTCCCATAACACAAGGGATGGTGGGGTTCAGCACAGGGAATTTCAAGAGAGGAAAACATTAAAAAATAAATAAATAAAAAGAAAACATTTAAAAATAAACATAAAAAAGACCCAAAACTAAATCCCAAAAAAGCAGATTTGGGTATCAAGGACAGGAGATAAAGATCCTGTGTCTAAATAAAAAATCCCTATTTTTTTGTACATGCAATACACAAGAGCAGAGAAGCCAAACTGATGGGAAAGAACAAAATTCCCTAAATTCCATAATTTTATGGAAGTGGCTCCTGGAAATATTCCCACAACACAAGGGATGCTGGGCTTCAACACAAGGAACTCCAAGTGACAAAAACATTTTAATTTTTTTTTTTTTTCAAATTAAAAAAAAAAAAAAAAACACATAAAAAAAGCTAACAGAGGTCATCAAGAACAGGAGATAAAGGTCCTGTAACTAAATTTGATGGTGGCACTTTTAGATGGGTTTAGAGTAGAGACAGACTGTCTAACAGAGGTGATGGGTATTGGAAAATTATTGTAAATAAAGGAGTTGTTAGTATAAAATGTTAACACCATCCCAGGGGTGGTCAGTGTGCCATGAAGTGACCTGCTGGACAGACCTCAGCAGGTCAGGAAAAGAATGTTATGGATAAGGAAAAATAAAAAACCTTGAAAATCAGAACCCACATGCCAGACAGACCTGGGTGGGTCAGAAAAATAATGTTATGGATAGGGAAAAATAACTTTGAAAAGCAGAACCTACCTGACAGACAGACCTGGATGGGTCAGAATGTTATAGATAAGGAAAATAAATAACCTTGAAAATCAGAATCCACCTGCCAGACAGACCTGGATGGGTCAGAATGTTACAGATAAGGAAAATAAAAAACCTTGAAAAGCAGAATCCACATGCCAGACAGACCTGGATGGGTCAGAAACCGAATGGGTCAAAAACACGGGTCAGAAACAGAATCTTATGGATAAGGAAAAATAAAAAACCTTGAAAAGCAGAATCCACCTGCCAGACAGACCTGGGTGGGTCAGAAAAATAATGTTATGGATAGGGAAAAATAACTTTGAAAAGCAGAACCTACCTGACAGACAGACCTGGATGGGTCAGAATGTTATGGATAAGGAAAAATAAAAACCCCTGAAAAGCAGAACCAGCCTACCAGACAGACCTCAGTGGGTCAGAAAACAATGTTATGGATAAGGAAAAATAAAAAACCCTGAAAAGCAGAACGGACCTGCCAGACATAAGGACAACAAACAACCTTGCAAAGCAGAACCAACTCATCTCCTTCTCCTGTCTCTGGGCTGCAATAAAAAGAGATTTTCTACCACCTGGGGGTCACCCCGAGCCCAGAGCCCCCCACTCACCCTGGCTGGCAGTGCTGATGCCCAGGTGGGTCAGGTTGGCAGCCAGGTTGCCCGTGCTGCTGGAGCTGCTCAGGGCAGGGAAGGAGGACTCCTCGGGGTCCAGGGGCGTGGGCAGGGGCGAGGGGAAGTGGATGTTGGTCAGGTCTGGCAGCGAGCCGCCCGTGTTGTGCGTGGCAGGGATCAGGGCTGTAGTGTTCTCCTGCTCAGCTGAGGGGAAGATGCTGCATTCAAGAGAAAAAAAAAACAAAAAAATTAAATTTATTGATAGTTCAGGCTGGGGAGAGGTTTTTAAAATTGTTTCACGAGAAAATGTTATTAAGTTGTTTTTTTTTGAGATTTTTTTAATGTATTTAAGAAGAAAATTTTATTAAGATTTGCTGGAGATTTTCAAATTTATTGGATAAAAAAATTTCATAAAGAAGATTTTTTTTGAGTTTTTAAAAATGTATTTAGCAAGAAAAATTTATTAATATTTTTTAAAGCTTTTAAATTTTATTTCACAAGAAGATTTCATAAAGATTTTTTGAGTTTTGAAAATGTATTTAGCAAGAAAAATTTATTAATATTTTTTAAAGCTTTTTAAATTTTATTTCACAAGATGATTTCATAAAGAAGATTTTTTGAGTTTTTTAAAATGTATTTAGCAAGAAAAATTTATTAGGAAGATATTCTTCACATTTTAAGAATGTATTTAACAAGAAAATTTCATAAAGAAGATTTTTTGAGCTTTTTGAAATGCATTTAAGAAGAAAATTTTATTAAGATTTTTTCTGAGATTTTTAAAATGTATTTAACAAAAAATTTCATTAGGAAGACATTTTTCACCTTTTTAAAATGCATTTAGCAAGAAAAATTCATTAAGAAGTTTTTTTAAGCTTTTTAAAATGTATCTAACAAGAAAATTTCCTAAAGAAGACTTTTTTGAAGTTTTTAAAATGTATTTAACAATTAAGAAGATTTTTTTAGCTTTTAAAATACCTTTAACAAGAAATTCCATGAAGATATTTTTAGTATTTCTGACCCTCAGAGGGTCTTGTTTTGTACCTAGAATTTTCCCCAGAAAATTCCAAAGCAATAGGATATTCAATCCAAAATTCTTCTTAAAGATCTCAGTGCTTTTAAAATACAAAATGAATAGAAAATTGCTGAGAACTTACTTGATTCCTGGAACTTCACAGGATTTAGGTCTCGATGACCCAGTCTGAAATAGAAGGGAGAGAAATTTAAAGGCAAAAATGCTGCAGGAGGGCATTGCCTCAGAAATATTTCAATTTATCAGTTCAATTTAATCATTTCTGTGTAAGATCTGGGAGTTCTTAGAAGATATTTATAATTTTTTTTGCTTTATTGCTCCAACAAATCTTAAATTTCCAGAGTTTCTCCTCATATAGCCAAGCCTGTGCATTCACACCCACATGAAATGCTCCAATATTTATAATTTGATTTTAAACACAGCATTTAATCTCCAATCTCAAGAAGTTTATTAATATTGACAGTGACTAAAGCATTCATTTATCTAAATATGAATAAATTTAGATGTATTATTATTCAGAAAATAACATTTCTGCACTTTGAAAGGTGCAATTCCCACCTTTTTAGTGTCCCAGCCTTGCTTAGAGAGGGTTTTGTCTGCATCAGAGGTGGTTTCTTCCATTCCAGGGACAGTCAGCAATAAAACTAAAAAAAAAAAGAGATTAAAAGGAATCATTAATAATCAATAATATTCAGTTTCTTGGGAGTTTAACCTCTGGGAAAACCTTAAATTCTCAAGGAGGATGAAACAGTGCTTTTAAAATAAAAAATTGCTGAGAACTTCTTTGGTTGCTGGAACTTCCCAGGAAGTTTTTGTAGGTGTTTTCTGGGTGTTTGTAGAAGGGTTAAATTTGGATTTTCTTTGGGATCGGGATTTGAAGTTCTTGGAGCCCTTCAGGACGAACAATTCCCGGTTTTCCCGAGCTGGAGCAGGAGCAGGGCCCAGCAGAGGGCACCAGAGCTGAGGGTGCCAGAGCTGCTCCCGCCTGGAGCTGCCCTGGGAGGCCCTGGAATTGTTCTTGGAATTGTTCTGGGATCCTCTGGAACTGCCCTGGGATCCTTTGGAACTGCCCTGGGATCCTTTGGAATTGTTCTTGGAATTGCTCTGGGATCCTCTGGAACTGCCCTGGGATCCTCTGGAACTGCCCTGGGATCCTTTGGAATTGTTCTTGGAATTGCTCTGGGATCCTCTGGAACTGCTCTGGATCCTCTGGAACTGCCCTGGGATCCTTTGGAATTGTTCTTGGAATTGCTCTGGGATCCTCTGGAACTGCCCTGGGACCTTTTGGAATTGCCCTGGGATCCTTTGGAATCTGCCTCCTCCCAGGATGCTCCCTGGGGATCCCCCAGCCTGGAGCTGCTCTGGGATCCTCTGGAATTGCCCTGCGATCCTCTGGAATTGTTCTGGAATCCTTTGGAAGCTGCCTCTTCCCAGGATGCTCCCTGGGGATCCCCCAGCCTGGGATTGCCCTGGGATCCTCTGGAATTGCCCTGGGATCCCCTGGAATTGCTCTGGAATCCTCTGGAACTGCTCTGGGATCCTTTGGAATCTGCCTCTCCCCGTGATGCTCCCTGGGGATCCCCCAGCAGGAATAAACTCGGGGCGCAGCCTCTGCTCCTTCCCTGCAGGTCCCTACTGCAATTCTGGGAATTCCACACTCTGCAGGAGCTCCTCCAGAGCCCCAGCAGCCCAGAGGATCCTCCCCAGGGCAGGAATGATAAAATTTGGGGCTCAGGAAAAACTTCTCCCTTGATTTTGTGTCATTTTTTCCTGGATTTCAGCAGCCAGAAAGGTGAATGTGATCCAACTGCTGTCACAGGAAGTGTCAGCACTCCTGCATTTTACAAACATTATATAAATCTTTTTATATTCTTTTTCTCACCTCTTTTCTGCTGCATGTCCTGTGACCCTCCTGAAAAGGATTCCTGCTGAGCTGGAGTCATGGTGCTCTGGTGCAAGGCAGAATCAGAATTTGTCCTGAGAGAAAGCAAAACCCACAATATTTTTGTCAGCTTCACTAAATAAAATGAATTTTCTTCTCAGATAAAAGCAATAACTCAGTAAAACCTCAATATTGTGCATTAAAACCCAAAAATCTCTATATGGCAGAAACCAGGCAGAATTTCCTTGTGAAACAATCAATTTGCAGAACAAATTAGTTCAAGTTTGAAGAGCAATTGTTTCAATAATGGGATTGAGAGGAACACAGGATAAATTGGTTGCCCTTGTTAGAACAGAGTTTTATCTGCTTTGTTCAGATTAAGTATGATCAAATAATGCCATTTTTAAGCTGTTTAGCCATATTTTGGTTATTGTGGTGGTTAAAACAAACATTCCTGGTTGGGAGGAGGAAAAGGAATGGTTCAGGATGTTGTGGAGATGGGAATTTTCATGGCCAGCACATTTCAGGATGAACTTTTGAGTGTGCCCACCCTCAAAGTGTAACTCTGTGTTCCTTCCCACTGGCACATTCCCAGCCCAGTTTCTGCACCCAGAGAAATATCCAAATCTTGGGCTGTGCCTGAGAACTTTTGCATTTTTAAAGAATTTTAAAGATTTTTAAAGATTAACCTTTAAGGATTTACCTTTAAAAAGGTATCATTAAATCAAAGTATCACTTGCAGCCACCTCAATTTTACAGCTCATCTAAAACAAGCACTACTGAACTCAAAAGTGAGTTTCTGAATTTCTAAAGGCACAATCCCAAGCTGCTGCAGGGTCAGAGGAGAGCCCAAACCCCCAGGGTGGTGGCACCCACCTCCTCCAGCTGGTGTCCGACGGCGGTGACAGGTACACGGTGCCATAGGGACAGCTGTCCACGTGGGCCAGGGTTAAGGCAGCAACACTTCCACTCCAGCAGGAAATCTTTTCCCAAGAATAATCCCAATTATCCTTTCAGAATCACTAAACTCACAGATTCTCTACGGGGAACTGTAAAAGGATCTCAACCCAATGTGTTATTTGGATTGTTGGGATGTTTGAGCAGTAAAAATCCTTCCTCCTTTTCCATGGATTTAACTCCTGGTGCCTCCACGCTGCTGTCACACATCCCCTCCAGCCCCATCTGATGCCAGCTGATTTCAAACTGTCAGAAATGCTCAGCTCATCCCATTCCCAAGTGCCAACAGGATGAATCAACCTGCACTGAAATGCACGAGGAGCTGCAAAGGAGAACCCTGGGCTGGGCTTGCTCAGCTCTGAAGGGAAACTCCACTTCCTCAGGACAGCCCTGACCTTCCAGGGAATTGTGGAATGGTTTGGGTTGGAATGGGAGGACCCAGAGCTGGCAGTGAAGGTGCACCCAATCCCACTGTCCATGTCACCCTTAAATGTCCCCAAACCAGCTCTAAGGACACCACTTGTCACTGGTGTCCACTTGGACACTGAGCTGGTGACCACAGCCCTTTGGACACATCCATCCAGCCAACTCCTGATCCACTGACCCATCCATCAAATCCAGTTTAGACACTGGATGTGCCACGGGACAGAGCCAGATGCCTCACACAGAGAAGGCCACCAAAGTCCCAGGGCACCTCTGCCCTGAGGGAAGCCCTGCTGGGTGTCCCAGTCCATCCAAGCATCCTTGAGCTCCATGTGGATCATCATCCCCATGGAGAGCTGAGGAAAGGGGAACTCTTACTTTACCAACAGGAGGTGTTTATGGAATGGATCAGGGCTTGGGGAAAGCAGGGACACGGAGCTGGGAAGTGACTCCACAGCCAGGGAGGAGGAGAAGGGACCTGAGGTGGTGTGGCACCCACAGGGGAGGGAAGAGAAGGGATGGGGTGGTGTGGCACCCACAGGGAAGGAGAAGGGATGGGATGGGGTGACAGCCACAGGGAAGGAGAAGGGATGGGGAGTGTGGCAGTCTCAGGAGAGGGAGCAGAGGGGATGGAGAGGTGTGGCACCCACAGAGAGGGGAACAGAAGGGATGGGCTGGTGTGGCAGCCTCAGGGCAGGGAGCAGAAGGCATGGTGGTGGTGTGGCAGCCTCAGGGAGCAGAAGGGGGGGGTGTGGCAGCCCTGCTCCCAAGGATATCTGCCGGCCGTGCTTGTCCACGGAGAGCGGGCGGCGGTGGGGCGAGCCCAGGCGGTTCCGGTCCCGGTACACTCTGTCCACCAGCCCGTGGTGCCGCGTGGTCCTGCTCGTGTCCAGGGCTGACGACTGGAACGGGGTCTGGGAGAGACACGGGGATTACCCACAGGGAAACTGCCCAGCCTGCCCCGAGCCTCCTCCTCCTCCTCCTCCTCCTCCTGTGCCTCGCTGGCTCGCTCTGAGGAATCAGACTCAAAACAAGGTGTGCGCGTCGTGTGGTTTTGTTTTTCCTCCGACAGCTTTTTGGGAAAGCTGCCTCCTCCAGAAGGGGCCATGCTGGAGTGCCCTGGCCTGGCCCAGCACTGCCCTCACAGCTTGGCAGCCCTGAAGCCCCGGGGCTGAGCGTGGCAGGAGCTGCCAGGCGCTGTCCACATGCCCTTGGTGCAGCATGCAGGGTGCACAGGAGGAACATGCCGACATCCAGAGCCTGACCCGGGGCAGGAGATGCAGGAGGAGCTGCACGCTGAGCTCAGCATTCCCCAGGACACGCTGCCTGCTCCCAGGGCTGCCTCTCACCCCTCCCTGCAGCAGATTTATTTTAAGGGGACACTGAGAGAATGAAAAGAAAAAGAAAAGCAGTTTCCTTCCTCCTCTGTCGGGTGGGCTTGAAGTGATTTTCAGCTCCTTCAGTGACCCGAGGTGGGATGATCCCACCTGGACTCTTATCTCACTGACATCCTGAGCAGATGATTTCAGAGCGGGAGGATGGCAGGGGAAGGACAGGGAAGATGAATTCCCAGGCTAAACTGGAAAACTTTCACATTTTCCACAGCCCTTCCCAGTGTGTGCCGGGGGGACAAAGGAAGTACCGAGGGGTCAATCTCTGCTCGTACTCCACCAGCAATTTATGGGTCTCCAGGGAGAAAAACCCTCCCCAGCCTTGCACTCCCTGCCAATGTGAACAGCTTTGCTGAGTCCCTCAACACCATCTGTTTGGAAATCCAAAATTTCCTCCTCCATTCAGGTGCTGCACGTGGCAAATGCACTGTCCTGTCTGCCAAGCCATGAAACCATCTGGCTTCCACATTCATCCCTTTTTCTTTTGCTTTTTGCTTCTCTTTTTTTTTTTTTCCAAGTGTCAGCTTTGGCTGTTGAAAAGATTATTTCTATAAAGCTTTGCATTTATTTTGAAAGGCTTTGTTTGTATGAACTTTTTAAAGAGTCTTTCTACTATTTTAAACCCTTTTCTCTTCAGCAAATATTGGGCTCCTCGCCCTCTCTGCACACACAGGCTGTGTTAACAGAGCTGCAGAGGGGCTGTGGTGTTTATTTTCTCATTTCAGGGCCAACATTTTATATGCAGCAGAATATTTAAGGCAACAGGGGACTAGAAAGGAGCACAGTGACTTTTTACAGGACTCTCAGCACTTCAGATCGTGGGGTTTGTGCTTCACTTCCTCACTTGGCTGAGAAATCTCAAATAGAATCTCAATTTTAAGGCTTTTAAATTCAAACACGGTGCTTTAATCTCTGCTGCAAGCACTGAGCAACAATCCCCACACACAAGTGGGAATATTCATCATTCCAAAGCGACAAAAGGTCTCAAACTCTTCCTTTTTTCTCTTGTTACAGCCCAAAAGGCAGCAAAATTTGCAAATACGTGCTTGGAAGGTCAACAGGAAAAGCAATTTCCTATGTCAGTGGTGTCAGCACAGTGCTGCTAAAAAAGGAGCAGCCAGCCCTGAGCACAGGGCTCACCTGGAATTTAAAGGGAGGCCAAAGCATAAAATTATAAAGACAAAAAGTTCCATGTAAAAAAAACCAGCTATTTTTTAGGTTTTACCTTTTATTGGCACAATTTCCTTATCAAAAACACAGTAAAAATCTCCTCTGAGTGCAGCAGTGGCACAAACAAACGTGGAATGTGTCCCAAATCAGGGCTACAGTTTACAGAAATAGGGATTTTGGGCAATGCTGTTCCCTGGCTTTCCAGGAACCAAGATCCCAAAAGAATCCTGAATTTAGAGAAACAGAAAACACCTGAGGAAATGGATTTCACCTCCAACAGGTCTGGCTTCTCTCAGCAACCTTCCTATAAAATTTATTTAGGGCCAAACACCAGGACAATGTTGCTGGATTAAAATTCCCCATCTCTGCATGGCATGAGATATTTAACTCTAGGGAAAAAAATCGATTAAAAATAATTAATAGATCTGAGCATTGATTGTATTTGGGAAAATGAAGAACTAAAAGGGTTTCACTCCCCTGAGAAACATTCAAGGGCTTGAGACCAGACCCAAAACCCCCCAAACCACGAAAAAAGCAGCTCAATACAGACAGGAAGGAAAAAGCTCAGTGCTCTCCAAGTGTCCTTTTAGGATTTCTCAGGAAATCAACCCAGGTGAGGTGGATGAGGGGGAAGGAGGAGTGGTACCTACTGCTGGTTGGTATTTTGGTGCCTCCTGGTGCCAAGCAGGATTTGGGAATTCATTCTGCCCTTCCCCATGGATTTAAACATGCAGGCTGAGTGCACATGCTCAGAGATTGCTGAAACCACAGGCCAAGACTGAATAATCCACTGGCTGCACCAAAGAAACCCCCAAAAAACCAGAAATAACCACATGACAGCAAGTCCAGGGAGTCTGCACAGGAATTATTTGCATGTTCCAGACTGGGATGCATGGCAAAACCTGGGATTTGTGTGGCAGCCCTGCAGTCCTGGGGGTGAACCAAATAACTCCTGTGCAGGGCAGAGCAGCTGTGCAGAAATACGTATCCACCTGGGCTAACAGGACCAGTCCTAAATACGTATTTGCACAAACCTAAAAACTTGTTTACCAAAGAGACAGGAACTGCTCCAAAGGCTTCAGCCAGAGCTCCGTTGTGCTGCAAATCAAAGAAGCAGAAGATGCTCAGACACCAACGCTCTCAGCAGGCACAACCACCCAGGCTCTGCCTTCACACCATCCCAGAGTCGTCTGCAGTCGTGCTTTCAGCTTCACATTGGAAAAACCTGGGAAGATTTTCCCCCCTGCTACAAACACATGGGGTTGTTTTGTTGCTTGTCACCATTTGTTATCTGGAACAACATCAATTTGGGGGGTTTTTTTTAGAGCGTGTGTGAAATAATCTAGAAAACCCCAGGGTTTAAGGATAGTTTGTTTCTGTCTCCTCCTCCAGTCATTCATAAATTTTTGAATGTTCCCTTTTCAGCAGTCAGGATTAAAACAGTCCAGGTAAAAACCACCAGTGATGGCCATCAAGCACAAAAATACTGAAATATTATTGTTTAGAAGGAATTCTTAACCTCTTAACAAAAAGCTGAAGAGGAAAGCTTGAACAGAGCAGACATTGTGGAGTGACACTGGGGACTTCAATCCACTACAAACCTCTGCTCTGTATTCCCTGAAGAATTAAAGATTAAAATTAACTTTTGCCTCTCCTCTTGCACGAGATTCAAGTTTTTAACCTGCCCAAATTCAGCTGTCTGCACCTATTTCAAGAAGCAGTTAGAGGAGGTCAGCAAGAGTTTCTCCATCTTTATTAAGCAGCCTTCATCAGAAAACCACAAACTGCAAAATTTCCTTCCCACCACATCCTCGTGAGCTCAACTGTAACTCTGACTGCTCAAAAAAGGAAAACCAATGCAGAAATGTTCATTATTTTGAGCACTCTAAATCAACTAAACGTGGAAATCAGGAGTCCACAAAGGATCCACCAAGTAATCCTGTCCTTGGACAAGACCCTCTGTCCAAACAGGCTTCCAACAGCAAAATATTCACCTGAAACTCTGATTTTCTGTTTAAGGTGCATCATTCCTGGAGTCACAAAACCCAGCCAGGACATTCTCACATTTCCTTTCCAGCCAGCCCAAAAAAAGTGATTATTCTGATACCACTTTGTGTCCCACTGCTCTTCTCCTCTCCCAAAATTCCTCCCCCAGAACATGCACATCGATTCCTCCACCCCCCAGCCCCAACATCATCTTTATTTCCTCCCATTTTGCTCTGAATTTACAGCATCTTCCCAGATTTCATCAGGAATTGCATCTCTCAGAGTATTCCTGACCCCAAAGCCTCACAACCAGGGACAGGAGAACTAAAATCTACCACAATCAACATCAAAATCCCCACACATCCCAACCCCACCAGCAGTTTTTAAACCAGGGTGTTGACTTCTGGACCAGCAGCTGCCTGGGAGGACACACCAGCATCCAAGGCCAGAATTCATCACCAAATCCAAGGAAAAACTCACCTGGAAGGGGAGATCCATGGCACTGTTCCCAATCTGATTCACATTTGGCAATGACCCCCCATAGTACTGGCCACGACTCTGCCCCAGTTGCAAATATTGGGTTTTCTGCAGCTGTAGCTGAAAGAAAAGAAGGAGGAAAATACAATTTCAACTGTTATGACCAGCACAACTTGACACTGTGATGACTGAGAATGGAAATCATTAAAAGGCATCAATCCAACTTTTACAAAGGAGGGTCGACCTTCTCCACAAGTTTCTTGCAGCAGGAAAAGCCCTGGAGAAAGGGCAGGGAGAGATTTCCAAGGAAAAGGCAGAGCCAGGTTCTCAAACAAAGGACAGAGAGGTTTTCACAGAAAACCCCTTCAGCCAAGGAATAACCAAAGCACCACCAAGAATTCCCCGTGGGACATGGATGGTCTGCAGAGCTTCACTGAATTCCAGGCATCACTCTCCAGTAAAATATTCCAGGGCTTTGCCCAGAGCTGGAGACACTGCTGGATGTTTAGCTGAGGAATGCTGAGGGATGCTTAGGGTGTGCAGGGTGTTCAGGAGTGCCCAAGGATGCTCAGGGATGCTCAGGGATGCTCCAGGTGCCCACACCACGCTGCCAGCACCCAGACAGGATGCAGAGAAAAGGCCCAGCCTGTTTACTCCATGCCAACACATGGAGGATCACAGAATTCCAGAATGATTTGGGTTGGAAGTGACCTTAAGGATCATCTCATCCCACCCCTGCCATGGCAGGGACCCCTCCCACCATCCCAGGCTGCTCCAGCCTGGCCTTGGGCACTGCCAGGGATCCAGGGGCAGCCACAGCTGCTCTGGGAATTCCATTCCAGAGCCTCCCACTCTTCCAGGGAGGAATTTTATATTATAATAGTCCCTGAGTACAAACTCACCCTGAGGACAGCTCACGCATTTTCCTGACATTCAAACAATTCCTAGAAAACTCAAAGATCTTTTATTCACAGAATTTCCCCCAGAAGCCAGCAATTTCCAACTGCACAGTTAAAATCTCTGTGCTTGAGCTGAGGGACCAAACTAATCCCTGAGTTAGGAGCTGACTCTGGAGATGAAGCCTCCCCACAGAAGCCCAGGATCACTGAGGTGGAAAACAGCTCCAGGGTCGTGGCCAGCCTTTGCCAGGGAGCTCCCAAAACCTCAGTTCTCAGGGCAAGACACCACCCACAAAGTGACTGAAAAGGGCAGATAATCTCCTCAGGCTGAAGATTTATAAAATATTTCCAGTTTTCCCTATCAAACGGCTTGGAAAGGTCCCATGTAAGGAGCAGGAAAGGCCCCTTTGCTTTTCTTGTGCAATATTTTGCCACGCAATTCCTGAAGCAAGACATGAAATTAGAGAAACCCTGTGTTAGTATCACTTAATGAGTCACAGCCCCTCCAACTCAGAGCACAAAAAGCACAATATCAGAACTAGCTGTGCTTTTTTCCCTGGCCCCTGCATATGTTTTTGTTGTTAAAAAAAAAAAAAATATAGAAAGAAAAAAAAAAAAAAAAGCCTTGTTTGGGCTTTGGGCCAAACATTGAAGTAACTATTTCAACAGGTGTTGGTTTCCTTTCAAGAACCTCCAAAAGGCACCCAGGGAGGAGGGGGTGGCTTTGTGTTTTTTTTAGGATTTGGGTTTTTTTCTCAGGATATTCCCACCTCAAAGCAGCACAGCACAGGGAGGTCAGCAGCATTTGTCTTTCTGCTACACTTGCATGGAAATGAAGCGACCCAAGAGCTGGGGAGCCCGGGCTGTTCAACGCTTTGGCTGCACCATTCCTTTGAGCAAGGATAAACACTGCTGGAGATGTGTGCCAGAAATGAGAGCAGGGATTGCTGCTCGCTGCTCCCATCCATCAGCACAGCGGGGAGAGCTGGGCTGCCTGCTCTGCTCAGCTCCTGCCTTTCAGGAGAGAGCGGCCCCCAGACTCCGCACTTATTGGAGCCCATCAACAACTGCCACTTGCAATCTGGGAAGATCAAGAGGAAGCAGAGCAGGATTTGTGTCCTGAGCCTCCCGAGCTCTGGCTTTTTAGCTGGAAGAAAAGTTGGGTTGAGTCTTAGGAGCTTGCTGTCATTCCAGCAGGAAATCAGGAGTGAAATCAGCTCCGGTTTTTTCCTTCTCAGCAAAAAAAAAAAAGCTGCAAATTTCTCTGAGATACCTCAGTGCACAGTGGGAAGCAGCACCAAAATCCAGAATAAAAGTTTGGGAAGGGACCTTAAATATTATTTAATTCCACCCCACACCTTTCACTATCCCAGGCTGCTCCAGCCTGGCCTTGGACACTTCCAGGGATGGGAAATCCACAATTTCTCTGGGCAGGCTGTGCCAGGGCCTCCCCACCCTTTAGGAAAACAGATGCTGTGACTAAAATCAAATTATTTCATTTTCCTCTCCATCCACCCTTCGAGGTGGAGAAGGTACATGGCACAAGTGAGGTTTTGAGAGAGGTTTGATTTTAAAAGAAAATAACAAAAAAGGAAAAGCCTTTTCTTAACAGAAAAATTCCAATTACTCTGGAAATGTTAACAAGTCTCAGGGCAGCCCCAGGGTTATCTCCGGGGGCTGGATTCAATTAGTGCAATTTGGATTCTGGATGAATTTAGACAGGGGAGGATGATAAGGAATTACTGAGTGCTCACCAGATTTATTAATTTCATGAACCACGAGAACTCGGTGACTCTACACTGCAGCTTTTCCACTTCTCTGTGCTGTGGCCAAGAGCAGCTCCCTGACAGCTGAAAATATTGCTAAATATCCCTGCTCCTTCCCAAGGAAGCTTTTGGTAAGAAAACAGCTTTTACTTGTTAAACCACTTTATTTCTAGTTGGTTTTCTTGTTCTGAAGAAATGTTCTGAAGGAATGTTCCCCAAACACCAGATCCAAATGGAATCTGTAATTTTCCTTCCACCAGCCTTTCTCTTACTCAACTTTAAATCTTCATTTTTTTTGCTTTAAAATCCAATGTAATCACAAAAAAAAAATAAAATCACAATTTATGTGAACATTTATATGAAATACATCAGTTTTTCCATTTGGGTTACCACTTGTTGGACACTTAGCTGTGTTTGTAGGGAGAGATTCAAGTTCTACAATTTAAAAAAAAAAACAACAAATAAAGAGAGAAGAAAAACCCTAAATACAAATCCAGTTTTCCTACAGATTTTCTAATATGCAGATGGGAATTAAATGAAACATTTATTAAGAATTCAATACTTGAAGTTATTGAAATTCTCCCCTGAAAAATTCTGAGTGAATTCCAAATTTGTGGGCAGAACTTATTGGGCAGTTTGGGCACCATAAATCAACCCAAGTCCACAGTAAAGGTTTTTCTTAAAATGTCTCTTTTAACAGATGAAATGTGGACTGCCAGAACGATAATAAAAGGGTGGAGTGTCCGTTTGATAAAACCCCAGATATCTGATGACTGCAGGAAGCAAAGATTTGGTGATAACAGCTTTTGCACTGCCTTGCAGTTTCCACACCGAGCTTTCTTATAATTTCATTTTTTACCCCTTAAAAAAAAACCCTTCCTCTTTAGCACCTCCAGCCTAATGAGCAGCAAAACCAGCACAGATTAAAATTAGCAAAGTATTATTAAAGCTTAATTGGGCCTTCAGTTCTGCAGGCAGGATTTAGTGGGAGTTTTAGAGGCTGCACTTTTGGGAAATCCCTTTGTGCCAAGCTGAGTTTGCTTGGACAGGGGTGAAATTCCCTGGAATTTTCACCTGGAGCACCCAGCCCTGGTGCAGGATTTGGGGTTGGTGTCAGGATTTTGGATGTGTGGAACTTCCCAGAGAGGAAGCAGAAGAAGAAGAGGCTCCCCAAGTGCTGCTCTGGCTTGTCTCTGCAGCTGGAATTAAACAGCGAGTCAAACAGAGCTGCGGGTCCTGCTGCCATCCCAGCGGGACTGGTGCCTTCAAAGGGAGATTTCTCCCCATTCACAGCCCTCGTGTTGATAAGAAAAGCAAATAAAAGCTTAAAAAGAAAGAGACCTTAACAGCGATTTAATGATTCGGGTTTAGATTTAGTGGCAGTGCTGCCGCGAGCTACAAATCACCTCATTAACCCCTTAATTATTTCAAAAGTTATCTAAGGTGCCAAAAAGTCTCCAAACACCCAGACTTTGGCTTCTCAAGGGAATGATTTTTTTTTTTTTCTGTTAACAGTTCAAAATTCACGCTAAAATTTGAATTTTAAAAACTCAAGGCTTGCTACTCAAATAATTACTAAAATGAATACATTCAAATAACTGCTCGTTAAGAACCCAAGCTCCCTGAAAACTGCCTGGGATTTCTTTCATGCAACGAGGAAAGAATCACAAATGAATACGAGAAAATCCTGGAAAAACAAGGAAAAGGGAATTTCTGTTCATTCTGTTAATTCCAACAGCTGCCGGTGCCCCTCCACATCCCCAAGCTGAAAATTAAAATCAATAACGAGCAGACACAAAGTTCTGAGCACAGAACAAGGTCAGGGGCAGAGGATTTGGTTTTAGGTCCCAAAATGTTCCCATCTCGGGGTTCCTCCTGGAAAATGGGAATAATCCCAGCAGGGGAATTCTGGAAAGGCTCTTCTGGGACTCCTCACAGACCTGCCCTGCAGGTTTCACTCTCCATCAGCAACTCCAAGTTTGAGTGGAGCTCCAAGCCTGGAAAAGTGGGGATAAATGAAAATATTCCAAATATTCCAGAGGCTCCCAGTCAGCCACCAGCACCTCTGGATCCCACCTGGGGAGGGAGGATAAACAAATTAAAATACCCTGCTGCTCCCAGAGGAGAGGAATGAAGGTTGGGAAGACTTTTGGACTTTTTAATCTCTATAATGCTTTTAGAGCTTGGGTGAATACTGATGGTTTTTATCATTTTATCATGTTTTGGATAATTTATTGCAAATAATTACAAATACTTCCATTATTTACATGTTACTGATATAAATTCGCCCATGCTGTTATCAAATATTCAATAGGTGACTGAAGAGATGGATTTGCAAGTTTAGCTTTTAATTTTAATTTCCCATGTAATTAAAAATGAATACTATGAAATCTAACAACAGCAATATTTTCACCTCAGCAGGCACCTGTAATGTAAATAATGGAGTTTATCTTCA